CTAATCCAAACCTACAAAGCAGTAACCAATTCTAGCCCTTCCTATATCTCTTCACTGATCCACAGGTATGCCCCTTCTCGGTCTCTCTGCTCTGCCCATGACCTTCTCCTGTCCGCAGCTTGCACCCGTACGGCCAGCTCACACTTTCAGGACTTCTCGTGGGCTGCTCCCCTAGTCTTCAATCATTTAAGAAGTGCCTCAAAGCCCATCTCTTTAGGAAAGCTTATGGCCTCCCAGAGTAACCTCTACCTCACATACCTGTCCCTTGCTCTCTCCTAAAAAGTAGCACACTATTCTCCCCTCCAGCTCTGCTTCACTCCCACCTTGTTTGATTGCGATCTCCTGTCCTATTGTGTTTTACACCCCACCTCCTATAGACTGTAAGCTCGTTTGAGCAGGGCCCTCTTTAACCTATTGTTTCTGTATGTTTTTGTAATTGTCTCATTTAATGTTAAATCTCCCCCTTTGATAATATTGTAAAGCGCTATGGAATATGTTGGTGCTATATAAATACTAGTAATAATATATAACAAGTGTTTGCACAATGACCTAAGCTTTAGAGTTTGGGGAGAGTGTTTTCTTTCGTCAAGTTTGTGGCCCTTTACATTCTGTGGATAAATTCTGTTACACTTTTTGCTTTATGAAAATACAATAAGGTTTCAAAGAATTTTCAAATCTGGTGATGTTTTTACAAAAAGCATCAAAACATCAAGCAAACAACAACCTGTATCACAGCAGATGCCTTATCTTATGTCAGTTTACTTTTGTGCCAGAGCAGATAATCCAATTTAAATAAATCAAACAATTTACTAAAATACTATGTCACTCTTAAAATGCTGGTAGATATTAGAGAACAAGCCATAAATCAGATCAGGAAGATAGATAGATTAAATTATTATTATTATTGGTATTATTATTATTATTATTATTGGTATTTATAGAGCGCCAACTTATTCCTTAGCACTTTACAATATTATGAAGAGGAGGGAAATTTAGCAATAAATGATACAGAAACAGTAGATAGATGAATACCCTGCTAAAACGGACTTACAGTATAGAAGAGGTGGGGTATAAAACACCATAAAGAATATGGCAGCAAGGGGGACAGCAACAAAACAAGGTCTGGAGGTGAAAGGGGAGTGTAGCTCTTTAGGAGAGAGCAAGAGACAGATATGTGAAATAGACGTTACTCTGGGAGGCCATCAGCCTTTCTGAACCGATGGGTTTTCAGGGACTTCCTAAACAATTGAAGACTAGGGGAGAGTTTGATGGGGGTAGGCAGGCTGTTCCAAAGGAAAGGAGACACCCATGAAAAGTCATGCAAGCTCCAGTTAGCAGTAAGGGTGCAAGCAGCGACCAGGAGAAGGTCACCGACAGAGTGGAGAGATCTACAAATCCATAAAGAAACATTACAGGGCTAGCATTGTTTAGAGCTATGTAGGTAAGGGTTAGTATTTTGAATTGAGATGGATAGATAGATAGATAGATAGACAGATAGATAGGTAGACAGACAGACAGATAGATAGATAGATAGCACACAGAGAAGAGAAAATAGAACAGTCAGTAAAAAAGGGATACATAAATGAGAAAAGGAAAGTAAAACAAGGATTAGTTAGATTAAAAACAAAAGAAGGAAGGTATGTAAAAGAGGATAAGGGTCTAGCTGATTGCCTCAATTAAAAATATGTTTGTTCAGTACTATAAGCTAAACTTGTACATGGCAAAAAAAAAAGACAAAGAAATTTGTCTAAAAAAGTAGTTTTTTGTTTTTTTGGACCAGATTTCTTTCATGTTCTACCTCAGTTCAGCAGAGTTTAAACCATGCAATAATTTCAGGGAAAAAAATGTGGACAAACCAAAAAGATTCCAATCAGTGTATGGCACGTTTTCCCCCTGTTTGGGTCACAGATCAAGTGAGAAGTAACTAAAAAGCAGTAAAACAATATTATATTAAGTATTTATTTAATATATAGTATAGAAATATTGCTTTGTTCACATGCCAGTCTTTGCTAAAGTCCACCTTGGACAAAACATCACGTCTAACTTTGGCACATCCGAAGACTAGTTTGGATATACACCTTGAATATGCACTCCATCTCTTTGACACTATAGCTGTTTAGATATCATAACTGGAAGGTTGCAGGCAGCTTAACAGATTCCCATAATATCCTTGGAGAGCCTTCATTGCACTACAAGAGGTATTTTTGGTGTTTGCGACGACCCCTATTCTAATTGTTTTCTTACCACTGGATTATTTATTTTTTGGACTCTTGAACAATATTAGCAGGACCTATCACCCACAGCCTGTATTTTTAGCATTTATATTGACATATGTCTTTTCAGGAGGTATGTTTTGGTGGTTGTGCAATATAATTATTTAATTATTAAATATATATTGTGTCTGCACATACTTTTTAAACTACTTTAATACAGAGTTAACTTTTTAATAAGATTTTTTGTATATGCTTATGATTTTTATTAGCATAGCTCTACTTATTTTAATTATTTATTTTTATTCATGTTCAGGGTTGCTGCTGTTTTGCCATTTGAACATAATCATTAGGAGACACTTGTCTGATTTTTTTTTTTTTTATTGAGTCTCATTTGTATATGAACTCTGAATCATGAATCAAATGAAACTGTTCATCAATTGTCCGTTTAGGTTGCTTCATGATCCGTCCACGTGACAAATCAGAGTTACAAAATTCAAACAGCATGCCAATCCCTCAAAATTCAGACAAATTGCAATTAGTTTGAAACCAAAAGCTTGTTACTATAAAAATATCAGAGACATATCAAAACTAGGATCACTGGCAACATAATCATACATCCAATCCAATAATAACATCTACTGTGTGGAACTGTCTAGCTAAAAATTGACCTCTTGGATAATGCATTAAAAAAGTTAACTAAAAAACTAAGAATAAAAAGTTACTTACCTTGAAAGTGTCTCCCAGTTCACTGCTTTCAGTTATAGCTAGATCCCTTTCAATTGAAAGTTTATCCTTTTTCTCTATGGTGACTAATCTTTTTCTGATAAATTGCTATTCAACAGGGGTTTAATCATACTCTGTGACAACTGAAATTGCACTATAAAGTGATAGCAACCATACCATGGCTGCCATCACTTTATACACTCTGTTGTTAACAGTGTTTTGATATCGGCTCAGCCTAGGACAACACATGCTTAGTCCACAGCTCATCACTTTCTGGAAAAATAGAGAGTTCATTCAATAATGTGTGTTGTGAATGGGTGCTGTAAGCGCTATATTGGCATAAAAGGTTATAAGGCAACTTAGAGCTATGTGTTCTGTATGCCTGATTGACAGTAATAGTGGGTTATCTATTAGTGGCAATGACATTTTACAAAATCCTCAGGGTACACTAAACAGAAACAAGTAATGCTTACAGTGTTTAGACTAACTCTTAATTTAAAGCAATGGAACAATTGGACATAGGGACAGGGAACCATCGTAACTTAAGAAAAAAAAATATATATGTTCAATTTCACTGTTATTCAGGGTCTAAAATGTCTTTAATCTCTCAGAAGAATAGAACTGATTATGTCTCAAACATGATATTTACAGGGTCCTGACTTACAAAAAATGAGGCCAAATCAGAAGCTTTTCTGGTTAAAAGTGCTAGATAGGAATGAGTTACAATAGCTATCCGTAGCGTGTCTCTGAAAATGTAACACTCCAGAATAGCACCTGTTTTTCCTTCATAAATTTCATTCTATATAAGGCAACTGTTCCTGAATACATATGATCCTGGTCTGTTCCAGGAGCTGTTACTGATTACATCTAAAGTCCATTCACAGCATGATATCTGTTGCCAACCTGAAAGGTTTTAGCCAACCTGAAAGGTTTTAGTCATGTGTTACGAACGCTGGTATTTTAAGTACCTTGTTCACCTATTTCTCCGTAACTGCTAAGCATGAGTGATTATAGCTGCAGTTCGGGTGTAGATACGAATCGTTCCAGACGAATGCAGCATCCAAGTAGTTTCTCCCCAGCAAGTAGATAGCTACCCAAACATGAGCATAGACTTCATGAAGGGTACAACAGGAATGAATCATTATTGATGTCACACTGGCTTTTATGCGAGTCCCCATGCAAGGGGACCTCCCACAAAGGTTACAACCAATAATATTTCAGTGACAAAGATGAACACTCCCACTGCAAACAGACAATCCCCTCCTCTCTGCCTGTGAGATAATTGAGTCAGCTAAATGATAACCCAATTATCTCCAGGCAGAAAGAACATATTTTCCCCAAAATTTAGAACGTACCCTAAAACACATAGTATCCCCATAACAGATATATCCCCTGATAGCCCTGAACTGGGTGACCAACATATCCAAAAATCACCCAGATCAGTTCAGGGGTTTTCAAATTCTATTTTGATCTATTTCGAAAATGTTAAAAAACAAATAAATGTACGAACAGAGCCCCCTGGCTCATAGGAGCAAATGTTCCCCTTGTTCGTGGGAACAAAACTACCGAACAGCGCTCTCCTGGCTGTTTGGGAAAAGGTAGTAGGCGTTCGTATGTTTTGACTGGTGTACGGGAAGTCGAGAGTCCGATTTTAGTTCCAGACACTCGACAACCAAGTCCCGCTGCCTCCTTTCGTGCAAACAAGATGGCCGCCGCTATCTCTCACACGTGGCATTCGGCTATACGAACAGCGGCCACCCAGAGAGAGCGCTCAATCAACAGTTTCCTTTGTAGATAATAGGCCGGGGGGGGGTCGGTGTTCGGTAGTTTCAGCTACCGAACTAATAAAACATAAAAAGTCATGAATGGGGGCGGAGCCTGGATGCAGAGCTGATCAGACGTGCATCGCCTGAGCTCCAGAGACTGGGATCGATAAACGACGGATTACCGGGGCCTCTCGCCAAACCGACCAGCCACCGACGACTTCCCAGATAAGGGAACGACGGTGCATCCAGTGATACCAAGATCCAACCGTTTTAGCACTGAAACGCTGCCGCTCAGGCTTGCGGCCTACACAAGCGTGGGCAGAGGAGAGGCGGCCGCTCTCTGAGCCCTATTCCCGGCGGAGTGCACATAGCACCAAGCTGTCCCCCCCCCTCTGGACCGGCGGGGGTCATCCCGGTCCCCCTCCTGACATACCCAGCACCAACAAGCCGGCTACAAGAAGCCATCAAGCGGGGCTAGAAGGGGAAAACCGGGGGAAAACATCTGCTCAACGGACCCCCTAACGAAAGCCAGGGCTCCCTGCGCGTCCCCAGCAAAATGGGACGGAAAAATAGAAAAACAACCACGGACAAGCCGTCCTCGGGGCTTACTATAGGGGATATGTGGAGACAGGCACGAGGCCCAAGCGGATCCAATATGGCGGCGCTCCACGGAGGCTGCTCAGACTTCTCTGAAGAAGAATCTGGAGAGGAGTACCTACCAACGCTTGCAGCGGAACAACCCCCACAGCAGCACAAACCCAACCCGGACTCAGCTCCGGTAACAACAGCGGTCTTAAAACAACTACTCAATGACCTCCAAACAACACTGCAAAAGGACATCACAGCGGTGCGAGGAGACCTGAAGGGCCTGACGACCCGCATGGGTGCCCTCGAAAAGACATCCACAACCAACACCAAGGCTATTGGGGAACTTCAGCGGGCTGTAAGTGACCTGCAAACAAAACAGCGCAGACACGAACTCCGCCTCGCGGAATACGAGGACGCTAGGCGGAGAACCAACCTGAAGGTACGTGGGGTCTCGGAAGCAACACCCGATGCAGAGCTCCCGCGGCTAGTCAAGCAATTGCTCGCCGACATACTGGCGCCCTCACACGTCCATAGCATTAGCCCTGAACGCATCTTCAGGATCCCCAAGCCACCTAGAGCGCCGACCACGGCCACCAGGGACTTAATTATTACCTTTCGCAACACCCAGGACAAAACGACAATCCTTAAAGCCATTAGGGGGAAGGCACCCCTCCAATTCAACAACATGACACTAAACTTCTTCACTGACCTCTCGAACGAGACCCTAGCATGGCGACGCTCCTTCCAGCCACTCACCGCACTACTCCGAAGTCATGACCTCCAATACAACTGGCGGCCTTCCCATACGCTCGTTGTACAGCAGGGAACGGAATCCCACAAGCTACAGGACCCAGCCGACGCAGCGCAGCTACTGCAGGCCTTGGGCCTACCTCCGGACTCACTCAACCAGGTAGCCCAACAAGGCATCAACTCACCACAGCACACCTGGGACCCGACGAGAACAGTCCCATTCATACCCCAGGGACTAACACCCGACCCATACGTAGCGGTAACTACATAAACGGAGAACGGCGATTTTAAAACCAGCCGCACATGGACGAGGGGAGACCTCCAAATTTTTTTTATTTTTTTTTATTTTTATTTTTTTTCACCACAGATAATGGCCTCACAGGGACATTTGCAACTTGTATTTAATGCTGATCCTCTAATGTTATATCATAATTTGTTTTCTGTACCTAGATTGAACCTGTCTTTAAAGCCTAGCTAGACATGACTCGTTGCATATGCCTTCACCCACAAAAATTGCCTACATGCGGATGTAGCTAAGTTCCATTGTATCGCTTGGTGACATGGGCAGGAATGGTCCGCCTCACGTTACCTGGGTTCATAATTTTTTCTGTTTTATTGATGTTGACTCGTTTTAAATGTTTAACACAACTGCATAGGCACCCACACTTACAACACGTACCTAAGCAACAAGATCAAACAGATGCCGATTAACAAATCCGCTTAAATACCTTAAGCGAGGTACAACCTCTCAGACAACATTACATAAAGGCTTTTTAGCCTATACATACGCAAACAGTGCCCTTTTGATATGGATGGCAAGCACTTACTCTTACTCATTTAGAAATGTTAATTTCCAACTAGTCTAACATAAGCATAAACCTTTTTACATCGACCATACGCTCACAACCTGAAATGTTGCAATCACGTAGGGCAACATGCAATTAAAACACACAAGCAGTGCACACCACTGGATAGACACATATACCTAACCAACTTAAGCAAGAACTATGCTTGATTCTCTCACTGCATCTACCCAAAGCCTTGAACATGTTCATAGCAAATAACTCTTGTGTTGCAAAACCTCTAAGAGGTTAATACCTTGCCCGATACAACCTATTAATACCTACCTTGCTCTAGACAGTTTCATCTCTGTACGAATATGTTATATAACCAGTCAAGGCGCAAACCCATAGCCAGATACTTAGCCTGTGATTTACACGACAACAAATACTTAATATGTTTTTGCTTTTAGTCTGAAACCGTTCTTTAACATGTATAATGCCATACCGGTCACCTCACATATAGTGCATCTTAGCATCGTATGTCTTTAACTGTTTGAATATAGTACATGTACTGTTCTTATATACTTGCAACCAAAAAAAAAAAAAAGAGGCAACTTTATGCTGGAGCTTTTGCTCCTTGACTGCACTCATGGCTCATGTGAGCACCTACTGTTATATTTTGATATGTATTACTCAAATGCCTCAATAAAATAAAGAATTAAAAAAAAAAAAAAAAGTCATGAATGGCCATAAAAGTCTTGAATAAAAGGCTCTTTTCTTCACATTACTCCCCCTTAGTATCATGGGTCGGCATACCCACCTAGATCCTGCCAGGTCAGCTTGGGAATGTCATGGGAAGACAATTATAGTTCCAGTTCTGTTTGGTGTGAAAGGCCATCCGCATTGCCATTTTGCTTGCCTGGTCGATATTGTAGAGTGAAATTATAGGGCTGTAAAGCCAGGCTCCAGCGTAGCGAACGGGGATTGTCCCCAGAGACTCGGTTGAGCCAAATGAGGGAGTTGTGGTCAGTCAATAAGGTGAAAGAACAACCATACAGATAGGGTTGGAGCTTCTTTAATGCCAATACTAGCGACAGGCATTCTTTCTCCATGGTGGGCAGCAGTTTACGGCTGTGATATGCCACCGGGTGCTCCATTCCATCGCCCCCCACTTGGCTTAGCACGGCTCCCAGCCCAAACATTGAGGCATCTGTATGGCCGATAATTTTTTTTGTAGGGTCTGGGGCTGCTAACACCGGTGCCTCGCTATTGCACACTCCGGGTACCACGCTGCTTGTTTGGGCAATGATTTCTTAGTTAAGTCAGTAAGGGGTTTAGCCAGGGTGCTATACTCAGGGACACATTTTCTGTAGTACCCTACAGTGCCCAGAAATGCTAATACCTGGGTTTTGGTGCGCGGTTGGGGCCAATTTGCAATGGCTTCTACTTTGGCTTGCTCCGACCTCTGCTTCCCTGACCCTACTCTGTGCCCTAGGTATTGTACCTCTGCCATGCCTACATGGCACTTCTCTGGCTTTAGTATGAGGCCTGCCTCCTATATCTTCCGAAATACCATAGCCAAGTGCATCAGGTGGGCTTCCGATGTGCCACTATAGATAGCAATATCATCTAGGTAGGCACATGCAAAGTCCTGCGTTCCATCTAGGAGTTGGTCCGCCATCCGTTGGAACGTGACAGGGGCATTCTTCATCCCAAACGGCATAACTCGAAATTGGTATAGTCCGAATGGGGGAGCGAATGCCGATTTGGGAATGGCTGCCAAATCAAGAGGGATTTGCCAATACCACTTGCACAGGTCTAGGGTAACTTGCCATGCAATCAAGTAATTCGTCGATCCATGGCATGGGGTAGGCACAGGGCCGAATTAACATAGGGGCTGATGGAGCAGCAGCTTCAGGCCCAAGCCCATGGAATAGGCCTATTGATTTAAAAAACAAAAAGTTTTTTTGTTTTTTTTTTACACACTACTCTTAGGGTTGCCAGGTATTTCTCAGGTATTTCTTAAGGTTTCCAGGTATTTCTCAGAAGTATTTCTCAGGAATTTGAGGCTCCCTAGCCAGTGCCGGTACTGCAGTAATACCAGCAATACAAATGTCAGTCTCAGTATGAATAGAGCTTATTCTGCAATACCAGCGCCGGCCAGTAGGGGTTGCTGTGTGTGTGTGGAGAGAGGCAGGGATAAGAAGTTACAGCATCTCCCTCCCTGCCTCTCTCTACTCAATGATCCGCGGGGAAGCAGCTCTGCACAGAGAATCCAGACAGCAGCTCCGAGAATGCAGAGACAGCCAACAGCTCAGGTAAGTGAGGGATAGGGGGAGAAGCTGCAGGGAGACATGGGGACACAGACATTAGGGGACACTGGAAGACATTAGAGGACACTGAGACACTGTGAAACATGGGGACACTTGGGAACACTGAGACACTAGGGGGCACTGGGAGACCTGGGGACACAGACACTATGGGAAACTGTGAGAGATGGGGACGGTGAGAGACTTGGGGACACTGGGAGACAGGGACACTTGGTGACACTGAGACACTAGGGGGCATTGGAGACCTGCAGACACTAGGGGAAACTGTGAGACTTAGGGACAGTAAGAGACTTGGGCCACTGAGACATTGAGACACTGGGGAACATGGGGACCCTGAGACACTAGGGACACAGTGGCCCCATGTCTCCCAGTGGCCCCTAGTCTTCCAGCCAGTGTCCTAGTGTCTCAGTGTCCCCATGTCTCCTAATGTCTCTGATGTCTCTCACTGTCCCTAGTGTATGTGTCCCTAATCTCCCAGAGCCCTCTAGTCTCTCAGTGTTCCCATGTATCTGTATCCCCATGTCTCTCACAGTGACAATGGGAGACATGGGGACACGGACTCTAGGGGACACAGACTCTAAGGGACACTAGGGGACACAGAGATATGGGGAAACAGGAAGACATGGGGCACTCCCAGTGTCCCCATGTCTCCGAGCCAGTGTCCTAGTGTCTCAGTGTCTCCATGTCTCCCAGCGTTCCTGATGTCTCTCAGTGTCCCTAGTGCATGTGTCCCTAGTCTCCCAGAGCCCTCTAGTCTTTCAGTGTTCCCATGCAGCTGTATGCCAATGTCTCTCCCAGTGACACTGGGAGACATGGGGTCACAGACTCTAAGGGACAGTAGGGGACACTGGACAACATGGGGACACTTAGAGACATGGGGACACAGGAAGACATGGGGCACTCCCAGTGTCCCCATGTCTCCCAGCCAGTGTCCCTAGTATCTCAGTGTCCCCATGTCTCCCAGTGCCCCTGGTGTCTCTCAGGGTCTGTAGTGTGCCAGTGTCCCTAGTGTCTCAGTGTTTCCTAGTGTCCCAGTGTCTCAGTGTTCCAATGTCTCCTAGTGTCTCAGTGTCACCTAGTATAAAAGAAAAAATCTCAGGCACTCACTGTGATAGATTTAAGCAGGTTTATTGGACACCACAATGTTTCGACCTGTACCCAGGTCTTTATCAAGTCTCCAGTGTTCCCTGTGTATCACAGTGTCCCATATGTATCACAATGTCTTAGTGCCCCATGTCTCCTAGTGTCCCTGGTGTCTGTAG